TATTATATAATGGATGACAATTCATGATCAAAGGTAAAATGTTGATTTGATGAAGTCAATGAAAAGTTGAAAAGTAATAATATATTAGACTATATAACAAAAAACCAAGCCTATGTATTAAAACATTCAATAAAGAAACATTATATTAATTTTTTTATTTGTTATATTTTTATCAATTTGAAACTAAATTTCCTTCCCTCTGTCCGATATTAAGTTTTTCAAATTTGCGTGACGATCTTCAAGCCAATTTTTGCGTGATATCTGGAAGGGAGATCGTCACAAAATTTAGCCAATGAAATCAAATGTCCACTATGTTTAGAGTTTGTAAAAAAAAAATTCGTTTACTTTAGATGATGACTAAATCAAGAATTTGTTTTAATATTGAAATTTAATGTGACAAAGAGTATTATGTGCAAATATATTATTCACATAATTAATATTAAATAGATTTAGAAAATACAATTTTTTTAATTGTTATCATTTGGGATATTTTTTAAATTTGTGTTGACGAAATCAGAAATTCTTTATTTTCTTTAATTTAGAAAATAATATTAAAGCTGTTTCAATTAGGATAATTATGCAGTGAAATTATATTTAGAAATATTGTTTTATTTTTAAAAAAAATTACATGTATAGATAATGACCAACATAAGGTCCGCATCATTTATTACAAATAAATAAAAAAATAAATTTTTATTGATCCTTTTCAAAAACTTTTAGAGCATCTTTGAATATATCAATTCCACGCTTAGCCTCTTCTTCTTTTATTATCAATGGTGGTAAAAATCTAATCGTATGATTACCGGATGTAATAATTAATAAACCCCTCTCTCTTGCTAATCGTAACAATGGTGCTGGATCCTTGTTAAATTGGACACCAATCATCAATCCATGTCCACGTACTTCTTTAATAAGCGATGGATATTTTGATTTCAATTCTTTACTTTCTTTCATAAAAAATTCTCCGACCTTGTTTACATTTGCTAAAAGTTCTGGTCTATTAATCCGTTTTATCACTGATAATGCTAATTTACAGGCTAATGGACCTCCTCCAAATGTTGAACCATGATCACCTGATTTTTTGGTAATAAGAGGAGGAAGTGAATGAATAAAAGATATATAATATTTAATCATATACATTTAGTGTTGATATATAAATGTTTATGATATTTACCAACTTCAATACTATCGGCCACACGTTGAGTTGTCATGACTGCACCAATTGGGTATCCATTTGCTAAAGGTTTCGCCATTGTTAAAATATCTGGATGACATGATTTTGGAAATCTTTGATGCGCCCAAAATTTACCAGTACGGCCAAGTCCACACTATTTTTTAAAAAAATAACCAAAATATTTATATTATCATTTGATATTTATTTGACATTTTTGACATGTGAAATGTAATTTGCACCCATCGGGAAGAATTAATCAATTACCTGAACCTCATCGTAAATCAACAAAGCTCCAACTTCATCACATCTTTTTCTTAAAGCTTCTAAAAATTCTTGAGTAGCAACCCAAAGACCACCTTCACCTTGTATCGGTTCAATAATAACAGCACAAGTATTTTGATTGACATGCTCATTAATTTTACTTGTATCATTGAAAGGCGCAAACGTAAATCCTGGCACCAAAGGTGCATATGGAATTTGTTGTTTTATATTGTGTGTAGCCGACAACGAACCCAACGTTCTACCGTGGAACGCGTTGGTGAATGATACTATACCGATTTTGTCTTGTTTACCAGAAGAAACTTTTGCCCATTTTCTAACAAATTTAAATGCTCCTTCGTTAGCTTCTGTACCAGTATTCGCAAAAAATACTTTTGCCGCATCAAATCCACCACCTTCTTTTGTTGATTTTACTAATAATTCAGCCAATTTACCAGCATGCTCGTTAAAATATAGATTCGATGTATGGACAAGTTTTCTTGCTTGTTCTGATAACACACTAGCAACTTCTTCATCCGCGTGACCGAAAGCGTTAGTTGCTATACCAGACGAGAAATCTAAATATTCACGGTCTGCCAAATCATATATAAAACATCCTTTTCCTCTCGAGAAAATAATCGGTGGGCGATTATATGTGTTGATGAAGTAATTGGATTGTCTCTCTAGTATTTTTGCGGTATCTGGATGTGTTTCCGAATCAGCATGCGTTACCTACATATAAATAATTGTTAATTAGTAAACATGTATAAATAGCGATGACTGACTCTATGATATATATATGTATATATACCTTTGATGATGTTTGTGTGGCAGTAGTAGTAGCAAATGTACGTGATGACGACTTTAATTATATCAATATTTGGAAGAGAAATTAACAGTTATATAGAAAGAAAGAAAGAAAGAAAGAAAGAAAGAAAGAAAGAAGAAAGGAATTGTTATTAATTTTGAAAGATATATATGTAAAACTTACTTTGATGCCTTTTGTTGTTTCGTTGATTATTAAAGATATATTTAATAATCTGTTTGTACGAATAATTCCCCTTAAATTTTTTAATGGAAACATGATTTTTAAGTTGCAATTATTTGTAAATCTTTAATTAATATTTTAGAGCCTTGCTATAAAAAATAGAGGCAGAAATTATTATCCAAATTATTTCGTTCTTTCGCATTATATATATAAATAAATAAAGCTACACGAATGAACGAATGTATAAATGGGATCCAATCTCATTTCCATCTGGAAAATTTATTTATTATTGATAGAAAATAGAGAAAATTAATGAGGTTAGAATTTTGAGTTCGTAATACAAATTAAAAAATTTATTCGTTTATTCATTTTATTCAAATAGAAACCCTACTTATGATTATTTTGCTATACAGTAGGAAAAAAAAAAAAACAAATAAATTACATCTACCACTATTGTTATCATCACTAAAGAGAAAAAACCAGTTACTACTATTATTAATTGACTAAAGAAAAGGAAAAGGAAAATGTCAATTACTTCTGCTGCTACTACTATTATTATTATCGCTATGAAGACTATGAATAAAGGAAATTCTTTTTGGATTATCAATGTGCATATACTACTACTATTAATATTACTATATTGAATTGTTCGTTTATTCAATTTATTTGTTTTATTCGAATAGAAACCGTAGTACCAATGCCAAGGGTATTACATAAGAAAAATTTATTAATCAATTGCATTTTTCTAAATCTAATAAAATCACTATAAAGAATAAATAAAGACCGACTAATCAAATCCCAATAGCCTTATGGTTCTATTTTCTAATTCTTTAACGAGAACAAATAAATCTAGGAGTTTTGCATAATAATAACCTGCAAGTATTTACTCTTTTTCCGATAAAAATAGATGCTGTTTATAAGTAATAAATAGTAACTGGTAATTAAAAGTTTGCATAATTACTATACTATTACTATTATTATTTATGAGTACGGTACGGAACACTAACACATCAGATAACTTTAAAGCTAGATAAGGAGATATTGAATGCTTGGCTGAAAAAAATAGAAATGATATTTAATGGCTATTGACTAGTTTTAGAATCTATCGACGAGATAATGTTTAAAATCGTTAGTTCCGGAGTTATTAGCTTTTAAAAATTTCCGATAAATTTTTAAATGTTTTCAAATTTGGAAATTTATATATATGTAACATATAAATTACAAACAAATAGCCCTGAAACCAGTAAATTTTTTTTAAGTTGTCTCGATGACGGATTGTAGAACTAATACCAATATTAATATCGTCTCTATTTGTTTCAGATATTTCCCATCAGAAAATTGCATGTAAATCATTGACAAGTATTACTATTCTTTGATCACTTTGATCTATTCTATTATCTTCTTCACACTCAAAGCTTCATATGAGCCGAGCTTGGGTTTGATGTTATTATTATATATATAATTTTTTTTAGGTAATAAATAATTAATCCTACCATTTTTATTTCGTTTATGCACATTACCTAAAAAACAATTTAAGGGCCTATTTTCTTGAACTTGAAAGTTCAAGTTTAACTCGAGCCTGCTCAACTTAGAGTTTCTATTAGAATAAAACCAATAAACTAATAAAACAAATAAAACAAATAAACGAATAGATGAATAAAACGAACAATTGAATATGTCGCGGCAAAATTTACGGGTAAATTTCTTTTTTTTAACGGAAATATAGAAGGGTGAAACTAAATAGAGGCAAAACTGCGGCAAAACCAAACAAAGTGTACCTCAGTTTTTTGGCTGATTATTTATATATTTAACTGGTTTTAATATTAACGGAAAATAATAATAATAGATTGGAAATGATTTACTATTACAAAAGTTGCACAAAAAGAAAATCGGAAAACTGATCAAGAATTCCAATTTGATATTGTTACTCAATCATTGATAAAATAATTTACTCACGGAAATGAATTTTAAATTTTAATTCTTAGATTCTATTTAAACAAAGGAATTTAAATGAATTTGATCACTTTAGAAATAATTCTACACAAAAGGCTCAAATAATGTTTAAGGAATACATTTAATTAGAACAAATTAGGGGTTTTAGGAAATCAGAGAACTTAATGATTGAATGTACAAATAACGTTGTAATTTTGTATCATCGCAAATAATCATATCATATTACAATAATTATCATAATAATTATTTAATAAATAACAAACTGTCCTTATCCTTGGCCTTGACCTTGTTGTTGTCTTCGAATTTTATATTCTCGAAATGATAATAAATCCATCTCTAACAATGAATTCATACTAATCCCATCCATAATTATTTTATATTTATCTTTTTTTTCTTTTCTTTTAATAAGGTAATATTTAATAAATTTTATTTAGTGAAGTTTTGGGAAACGTACCTGACTTGAGTAGGGAGTAACAGTTAAGAAGGGTACCCACCAAGAAACATGATAAGGATATAATGTGAAATCTAAAGAAGATATTGTTTAGTATTGCTTAACAAGGAATTGTTTAACGATAGTGAAAGATAATTTTGAGAGTAAAGCATAAATATACGTTCACGGAAATTGTTGTTACGATTTAGTATAATTAAATTGGAAAAAATTGTATTAACATTATTGGCATTAAATAAATAAATAATCACTTTCGAGGATCGGACACGATCTCACAATGTAAAAAAAAATTTTTATAAACATTATTGAAAAATGGATAAATAATCATCATTTTTTTTTGTTACATATTGTAATACGTTTTGTCTAATATGTTTTCACTTTAGAAGCATTGTTTCAACCGGCTCTCTGAATATTTCGAGTATCTTTTAATGCAGCGAATGCAACAAATAAACAAGGTAAAATACCAACAGATAGTCTTGATGCTTTAGCCACTATAAGTCAAAAAAAGTTTGAACTCCTAGTATATAAATATCTTTGATTTTAGGAAAGGTATACTTTGAGGAAATTAATAGATTTCTATATATTTTAATAAATTAAGAAAAGTGTATGTTTAGAAGTATTTATTACAATTATTATAATAGGAATTTTAAAAAAAACCCCATTTCAAAGGCACAAAGTGTCACGTTAACTCATTTGTTAAACGGCTAACATTACTATTTTCTAGATTTTTTGCAACATTATGCCTCAAATATTCACTATCAATTGGATGTCAGATTTTTGCGAGTTTTCTGTTGATGTGAATGAAATCTAAAGGTGGCTCCTCAATTAATTGCAACTAGTTGCAACTAATTGCGGTATATAAAAAATGAATTACGGTTGCTGTTGCAGCTAATTGCGGTTTCCATCTTTAATGAAATCACTCTAGTAATAATATTTTTTGATAGATGTAGTTATTATCAAAATTGACTCTGAGAATCTTCAAATAGATAAAAACTATTTATATTTACCAAGAAATAGTGAGAATAATTGTAGAAAGAATGATGATATTATCATTATTATTAACTTGCAACATTTTTACAAAGATCTCCTAGTGGAAGAAATAAAGAAAACGAAATATCGCTTGTTTGTCTTTTTAAAAAAAAATTAAGGAATTTTTAATTTATCTTTTGGACAATTACATTTGGGAAGAATTGAAATCTCAATATTATAAACCTTTTTATTTAAGTAAACAATCATATATGAATAAGTGTTTAATCTATTATAAATGATTAAACAATGATATTTTATGATATTTACATTCTGATATTTATAAACATGTGATGCAATTCATTAACTTCAGATCTATCAATCAAGAACGTTTTTTGTGACATTGTACATTCAATATTTTCTTTTTTTTCTATATATATAATAATCATGAATATTGTTAATATTATTATTTAAGCATGCTCAAACATTTATTATTTAATGTTTTACCGTTGAACATTTAGGACGAAGCTTTGCAAGACGTTTTCTTTTCCATTCAATTCATTTTTGCTAATATTAAGTAAATAAAAATGAAATTTATAAATAACTAGAATAACTCGTAAAAAAACAACCATTCTCAAACAATATTTACTCGACCAATGCATTCTCTCTTTTTCTCTTCTATTCTTTTTGTTTACTGCAAACTTTTTTTTTTTTAAAATTAAAAATTAAATGATTTGATCAGTTTTTATTATTTTTTTTAATCAATCTAATCAGTTTCTTAATCAATCTATATTAATCAGCTTTTATTTTTATTTTTTAATCTGATCGGTTTTTATTTTTTTTGACTCGCGTTCAAAAAAAAAATCAAAATTTTGTACAACCCTAATACTAGCATAATTAGAGTCCAAGACGCGTGAGCCAGTAATTCATTCATCAGTAAATGTACAGTAAGTGTCGTTACTTGATATGGTATGGTTCTGAAGGAGAACTGTTATTTGTTAACGACCAAAGGTGTTTTTTGTATTGATATTTTTTTTTTATAAACATGAATGGGATTTGTCATTGCCTCTAGGTACTTATTAAGATTCTTCTATCATGATAATGAATGATTGGTTTAATATTAAGAAATGGTAAGGGCAAAGAAAGGCAACATGACTGTTGAAGATGGAAAATGGCTCCTGACGATTTGGAAACACTAATGACGAAAAATTTGATGATTGGAAATTTACAAATATTAGATTATGTCAAGACACTACTACAGCCATTCTCAATCTTCCTTATGTACATAAGGCTAATCTAACCTGCTACGCCCAACGATAGATGCAATTAAATTCCAGGGGGGGCCGCATGGTCTGGAATTTATCAAAGCTGCATTGTTGTCAAGGACACTTTATGATCCTAATCTTCCCTTGCAGTACCTGACTAGGAAGGCTAACAACAAGTTGCCGGTAACAATCCTATAGAGTAAATATGGGTCTGTGACCAAGAAGTTGCAACTTGGGAGGCTGCTTAATTTTGAAGAATTGTAATATTAAGTGAGCCTGCAACTTGTTATAGCCCAGGAGTTTGCAATTCAGAGTAGGGTTGGGACTTTGAAATTGCATTTGGGCTCCCTTCCTTCGAAAGAGCCTGCTGGATATCTTCCATTTTGAGATACCTTGTCACCATGATCTCTGGCATCAAGAGGAAAGCCATAAAATAAAATAGCTCAAATTCTAGTTGGTATGTTCCAATAAATTAATTATTTTCATAAATTATCTTTTCTTTGATTCACTGAATTTATTTTTCAAATGGGATGGGAACTTGTGCTTTTTTTGGTGAGTAGATGTACCACAACAAAACAGCAACTCAGGACTCAAAACTCAGGATTCAGGGAAAATCCAAAACAACAACCCAGGTTGCAGAATTTCCATCTCACAAATGCTGATCCTCATCAGTGATAAATTCCATATGACAACTTTCTGAAGGGAAGATAAGGTCTATGCGGAAGTTCCATTTGTCCAAAGCTTTCAAACATGCGGGGGACCTTGCCTATGGAAAAAATTCCATGGTTATGAGGCGTGCAAAGGCATATAACCACATGTTTGTGATAAGAAAATTAAATAAATCTGATACCTGTGATCAACGTCAGATTTATTATTCATTTTAAGGAACTATACAATGGTCCAAGGAAGGATGGAACTATTTATTAGAGTTTCCTTTTGAAACTCAAAAATTAGTTTAAAAAGTTGCTGAAGGCAAACCTACTATTTATTTTATTTTTGTGAGCCACAGTGACATGGATAGACACATTATTAAAAGTTTCATTTCTGCATTGTTTTTGTATTATTATTACTCAAGTGATGCAATTGTTTATTATGTCAATGATAACATCAAATGTATTGAATAATCATTATAAACATTGTAATGAATGTGTAGTATATGGAGGAATTCATGTTCAAGGAAAGGATTAAAGTAATAAAAGGTTAAGTTATGTTTGTTTATTTTATTTTTTATTTAACAAAGATACATAATTATTTATATATAAAGATAAGGCAGAAATCATTTTTATTGATAAAAATAATTCTTTGATTGACATTTCTCTCTTATCTAATGAAATATAGGTACCAGTTTGTCTTATTTTGATAAAAACAATCATGGTCTAGACTTAAATTGACCACCATAAATCATTGTGCCATTTCTTAGGGATCTCTCTTCATAAATCAGTGCACAGAGATTTTCTTGCTGGTCTGGAAGAAGATAATAATTTGAAATCTATGCATTCAGAAGGCTGTGATATTAGCTAATACTAGAAATTTAAATTTGAGTCCAAGGACTGACTTGTGTGATACTTGTCAACATTTTCGAAATGGTTTACATTACAATGCTCATCAAGAGGATGAAGCAAAAGATTTACTCAAAATTTAAAGAACATTTGTCCAAGGCCGAATTAGAAAGAAATCATTATAATAAAAATCACCAAATTGGCAGAAAACTTGTTGACCAAAACTTTTCTAATGGTAAAGCAGTATTGAGGCTACTGCTCATTATAGTTATGATTGAGCTCAAAATGTTCATGCACCCATTATGATCAACAAATAAGTAAGATCTATTATCTTGGTCCATGTAAAGTCCATTTATTTGGCATTCAAGATGATGCAGTAAGGGAACAAATTAATTATGTACTTGATAAAGACAAAATTATAGGAAGTATTTAAAGATTACTTGTGATAATGTTGTTGGACAAAATAAAAATAATGTACTATTTGGTTTTATTTATATGTGGTAATATATGGTTATTATGAAAGTGTTGAATTGAATTTCATTATTCTTGGACATATCAAATTCAAATGTGATGGTAATTTTGGATTGATTAAAACTCTATAGAAAAACAAGTGTAGATTGTGTGGGTCATATGGTTGATGTATTCTTTGTTTAATCTACCATAAGGATTATAAATGATAAAGTTTTTAGCTCTTAATAAAAAAAATGGGAAATGGGCAATGAAGTATTATTATTACTATTATTATTATATTAATATCTCAATCAGCAAACATTAAGATTACAACATGGATATTAAGATAATGGGCTGATTTTACAAGGATCTTTGTTGATATCAAGGTTGGGTGATGAAAATAAATGTGATGAAATAGGGTTTTTACACTTTGAGTAATTTGACAAAAGTGACTAAATCAACAAAACAATAAAATAAACCAATTAAGGATACTGGCTGCAACTTTTGATGATGGTTGCTACCATCTTTGCGTCATATAAAAATGATTGCAACTGCTGGTTGCAACCACCTTTACGACCATTTTGTTTCCTTTTTTGGATTGCGACATGGAACACTAAAACCAATTATTTTGTAGATTTTAAATTATGGAGTAAATAAAATTCATGATGTCAAATTCTAATTCACCTAATTCACCAATTCTTTCTCAATCATCATCATATAATATGAATTTGCAAGTATTAAAATTAGATAATATACATGAAAGTTCATTTAACAATAATCAAGAATTAGCTACAGGTTGTTCTGTGTTTGATGTATGGTTACACTTCATTAAAATAGTAAATGAAGAATCATTTCAACAATCAGAATTATCAGAGGATTCTACAGATTTTGAAGAAAGTTATGAAACCAGCAATAGATGTGAAGCAGCAATTCCTACTAAAATTTTGCATACAAAAATTAAGTATCCAACCAAGAAAACATGATTAATGATGTAAAAAAATGTTTAAAATTAAATTTTTGTTTTAATTAAATCTAAATAAAATTGAATTTTATATTTTTGTCATCTTTATCACAATTTGACTTTTGACTTTACCCTTTGTCACTTTTTGTCACTATTGTCACATTTCATCACATGTGCCCCATTTGACGAATACTCCAAAGTATTTTCATCACCCAACCTTGGTTGATATCAATTGAGTCTACTTATTATTATTATTATTTTTATAAATTCATTTCTTCCAAGAAAAAACCAATTTCTAATAGATACAATCTACTGAAACAAATTTACTTTCATCATCAAATACAATTCAGGTTCAAATCCAAATTCAAACATTGGTATCTGTAAGCTTCTTCCATCAGCTTATTTGGATCAATACTATTTTTAAAAAAAAAAAACTATCAGCTTTAAGTCACAGATTAAATGATTGTAAATTTGGTGATTTTAAAACTTACTATGAGTATGGTATAAGGTTTCCGGCCAAAACTTTCTTTATTAGTAGCTGAAATTGCTGAAACACTTTGGGCAAAATTACTTTTTTATAAGCCCAAACTATTTTTCGAAATTAGGTGAAATTATTTTAAAGTTGTTTAAGTTAAAATAAGCTGATTGGTATAGTTTTTTAATGTACATATTTATAAAAAATACTGAGAAGCCCAAATTGCCCAAACTAGTTTGGGCTTTGAGAAAACAGTTTGGACTGGAAACCTTAGTATGGTAGTGTGTTACATTTACCAATTGAAATCATTCATGTACCAACCACAATTATCTACTACTACATTGATCTCCAACTTAGCAATTTTTTTGTTAAGTCTAATTTATGTTTATACAAATAATACAACTAATCATCAATATCTGATTTCATAAAGACCATAATCCTTGATTGTTGCTGTTGCTACTGATATTGTCTCACACAGTCTGGATACCACCGCCAATTCATCCTTTCTCTTTAGCTTCCCTTAATGTTTCCATCAACTCCTCTATAATATCTCAAGGTGTTATATTCATGTTGACCCTTTTCTAAAATAGTCTGCATACCCATATGAATCTGCCAACCTCAACTCCATCACCTTTTCCCTTCCTCTTAATACCTCAACTAGATCCTCAATATTGACTCCCTCTTTCCTTCTAAATTAATAACTTATTTATTCTCATAGGCCTCTTATGCAGACCACAAGAATATCCTCATTTCCCTCAGTATCCAACCTTAACAATGAGCAAATTTTTCTAATTCCCACCAACTTCCTCCAACTCCAATTCAGACCTTCCCTCATTATATATAATAACATCACTTTCTTAGTGTTTGTTTTAATTCTCTTTATTTTTATTTTTTATTTCTGTTAAATCAGAAAGAAGTTGGAATGTTAACGACAAATAAAATTTTTAAACAACAAACCCCAAAATAATGAAATGGGGTTCCTGGTATACAGTCTACTCTCTCTATAACGACCCTCTCTATAACGACCACTAAGTAAAATTTCTCTATAACGAACTTCCCTTTTGTCCCCGTTTCAATTTTTTATAATTAATTTCTCTCTCTATAACGACCAAAAGCAGAGAAATTACATATAGGGACAGAGGGTTCGTTATAGAGAGAGTGAACTGTAATTCGTTGTGATCGACGTCACGCCTTTCCAATAAAAATCTCGATTTTTTCCACCGCGCGATTTTTTAAAAAAAATTATCACGTTAATTGAATTGCTATCCCTAACTGTTTCCATGTCATGAGAAAACAATAAATAAATAATTTCTACCTTAATTTGATAAAATTAAATTGTAGCATCGTGCATAAAATAGAATTCATAAAATGCTGTGTTGCTCTATGGTACATGAAGTTGTATAGTCTAGTAGCTATTTACATCATGCAACTTTTATATTATACAAAGCTTGTATAGAACGCATTTTCTTATACTAATATAATAAAGTTGAAGCAATTATACAATTTTGTTTAAAAACTGATATAATAATAATAAATTTTTTTATTCTGATTGGTTAATTTGAATCTCACCTAAGTGAATTGCAAATTCACATAAATTTTCATTTTCACGCACAACATATAAATTTTTATTTTGGACATAGATAATTAATCTTTTAGAAGATAAACAGTTTTTATTTAGCATAAATAAAGATGCCATAACAAAATTATTATTATTTAAACCTTAACTCAAATTCTTTTCTTAAGTTCTAATTCATATCTCTCCAATTCTCTAGTCTTTTACATCCAATTCTAATTCTTTTTGTTTTATTTCGAGTTCTTTTTCTTTAAAATCAATTCTATCGGCTCTCGTCTTTTTATTGTTGCTGATATTAGTAGTATATACTTATGTCTATTATTGACTTTTGTATCTTTGATCAATTAATATTAGTCTTCTTCAGGAAAAAATAAAGTAAACAACTCGTTGAATAGATCTTATTGTTCAAGCCTCAAGCCCATTATTCTCCCAGTGGTACTAACATCAACATTATCAGTTACATGAAATGAGCATTTCACTACACAGTTTATAAGATGTGTATATAATAAAAATATTATCAGTTATATAATGTTGTTTATTAAATATATAAAATCAAACAATAGTAATATTTACTGCAAAATGGCAGCATTTAAAGACAGGTTTTTTCCATAACGATTTGCTCTTGCATGAGAAGATTCAGAGGCATTGGTATAACGGGCTGTCATGTTCCAACTATCAGGTGAAATTTACAAAACAGCATTATTTAAGAGTTTCCATGTAAGCTATGGTCTTTGTATTTAGTCCTGACGTAAATAATGTAACTTCTTTTAATACTTTGTCAATAGAATTAATTTATTTAACCAATTAAATTTATTTAATCATAATCAATGCCAAAACCTCTCGATATCTTCCAAATCTATTGGAAATTCATCAGAATTATCAAAATCCCATTCACAATAATCGAACAAAGATTCATCTTCCATTGTGATAAAGAATTTTATTCTAAAATCTTTGAATAAGATGAAATATTTGCTTTATTTGACGTGCATCATTTTTTTTTTTGGGTCTTTTTTTTAAGCTCTTTGGTTTACAACTTGGATCATTAAAATATTATAAACACTACTATTTATTATATTTATACCAATTTAATTCCTCACATATAAATTGTATTGTATGACATAAAACAGCACCGGACTATACAACTTCACGTATCATACTATACTAAATAAATGTATACTCCATAAAATGTCGTAAGCAATTTGAAAGACGATATCAACTTGAAAATGTATAGTTGTCAATTTGGTATATCCAATTCCATTTAATTATTAAGGTCAAGAATCACAAAACATATTTCTACCTGATATCAAATGCTATAAACTTGACTTTGTTTTTTCTATCAAAATTTTCAGGTTTTCAAAGCATGTTCAATTGTTATGTCAGAGATCAGTGCGATCGCTGATTGTTGTAATCCTTGCCCCTTGTTGGCACGCTAAAATTTTATACTAATAAAATTTTTACGTGCAGCCTTGTTTAAGTAAAAAGCATAAAACTAAATAAAAAAGCACAATTAAAAAAAGTCAAATTCAATATTATCATTAAGAATGTAACAACATCAATAGTAGTAATAGTAATAGTTGCTGTTGATACCTCATTCTCAATAAGAAATACAAGAAGTCTATTTTAATCAAATAGAATTGATTAAATCCAAATAATACTACTCTAATAAAAACCAAAGTAGAACGTGCAAGTGATTTTTTTCTATACTGCCCAGTTTATTCGCGATTTTCTTTTGGTATTATTACTTTAAATTTTTTAATCCGTGTCAAAATCCAATATAGGGTGTGAAAAGTTGTTTGGCTTTTTAACGATAGAAATTGTGTGATTTGTTTAAAAACTAACCAATGGTATTTCCGCCTCAGGGTGATCAAGATAGATAATTAATTACACGTCTAGTAAAGAAATCTATTTTGATAAATTTAGAAGCAGCTCAAGTGCAATATATAATATATTTGATGATTTATCGCCAACTGATCCACATGATCCCAAATCTGTGTTATAAATGACCTTCTTCCATTAACACCTTCCATTATGTAAATTAAATATTTTTTATGTATACAATATAATGCATCACATAAACCTTTAAATATTTAATTTGAATCTTTTTTTAACCAAACTCCTAAATTTCCTTTATTAACCATTTCCATTATTTGAGAGTTTGGTTATACCATACATGGAAAAATTGCAAATGATTTAACTTTATAATAATTTAAATTTAATTCCTGAAGATAAATATAGAATCATTTAATTTTTACAAGTGAGATTTTGATTTACTTGGTCTAATTTGTTTCAACCTTGCGAACAATGCAGCAGATTTAAAATTTGAGCTCTTCCCTCTTCGCTCGCCGTTACTAGGAGAATCCTTGTTAGTTTATTTTCCTCCGCTTATTGATACGCTCAATCTCAGCGGGCATTCTTGCCTGATTTGAGGTCATTTGTTAGTCACTCTATCTTTAAATAAGAAATTGAAAAAAGTTTTTCAAGATTTTGATATTATATCTTTATGTCCAAAATAAATAAAATTCTTTTTGTTTTCGTCACAATCGATAAATATCTGCACAGCTTTATAAATTGAACTGAATCCACCTTCTGTCAACTTTGCTACATCTTGAAGTTGTTCAAAAGGTATCCATTCTATAATTTTATGCAAGTATTTGACATTGTTGTATAAAATTATCAATTATGACATTTCGACAGATGTCCAAGTTGTGCGAGTGTGTGAACAATAACGTATTTTATAATCTCTCGGTTCGCCCGATTTATAGACTATCTTCTGACAATTCCTTGTTTTCTTTAACTACTTGTAAAAATAGTTATAGATGTCCTAATAGTTGAACAAACATTCTTGTGCATTTTATTAAGTTCAAATAATGCGTTTTTTATAATATTAAAAAAGCCCAAGAAAAGTGTAACTCTGTATGTTGCACATTGTTTTTAGTTAAAATTCAGCCCATTTGATATAAAAATTAATTCATACATTCAATAATCAAATCCATCTGAAAGTCAATCTTTTGATTGTGACTTTTTCTTGTGAGTCAATTTTTGACTCGTGTAACGAACAACTTTATTATATATATTGAAAAATGTGTAAAAAAGAAATTTATTTATTTTTTGTTTACACATGTTTGAAATGAGTAGTAGCATTAAACAATTTAGTATTTCTTTAAATCAATATAATAATAACAGTAATAACAGTAATAATACTAACAGCATTAGTGGTAACAACATTAATAGTGGTAATAGTGAGTTTAAAGCATTCCAAATTGCATTAACAGAAGCAAAACCATTACCCCCTTCTTCCACCATTCTTCAAATAACTAATAATGACAATAATGTTATTAGACAAGAGAAGCAATCAACTGTTAGTAACACTACAACAATCACCATTACTAACAATAACAATAACATTAATAACATTAATAATGATAGCATTAATAACAGCAACGACAACACAATTCCCCCTATAATCAAACTCCCTAATACCACTATTATACCCAATAATAACAATAATAGTAAGAATAATACATCTATTCCAATTTCAATAATAACACAAAAAAAAACCATAATCAAAAATTCAGATTCACACCAACATAAATGTTCACCTCCAATTACTATTACTACTACCCCCACCACCACTACAATAACCACTAATGCAAACACTAACATTAACAACACTTGTTTAAAACCTTTATTACCACGTCCACCTGTTCCAATTATAACAGCAAAATGTCGTCTACCAACACCACCGCTTCACACGCCTCCACCTTCTCAAAATCAATTATTAATATTAAAACAATCACCGTCACTGTTATCAGAACAACAACAGAAGCAAGCATCACCACCATCATCATCATCTTCCAAATTACCAATAACACCAAAAGAAGATGCTTCTTTACCAACATCACCTTCATCATCTATCACCGCTACTATTGCCAATAACATTGCCACCGTCAATAACAATAACAGTATTGCATCAACTTCTGATTTAATGCCAATACTTTTGCAAGCGGCTGCTCATGTTACAGTACGTGATAAACGTCAAGAACGTATGGTGAAAAATCGTGCAGCTGCTTATGAGTCAAGGAAAAGGAAAAGAGAAGAGGCAGAACGATTGATGGCAGATAATATTGAAATGAAATCAAAGATTTGTAATTTGGAACATAGAATTAATGAATTGTTGAAGGAAAACGAATTTATTAAACAATTACTTTATGATAAGGAAAAAATTATACAAGACTTAAATAATTCAAATTAATCAAGTTGTTTTTTGATGAATGTAAATATTATTCATAAATTATTTTTATTCTTGTATTATAATTAATTATTTAATATTTATTACTATTTATTATCTGTTACTATTTGTTATATAATAGATGCTCATTATTTATTTTGTAACATATACATATACATATTATATAATTATCATTATTCAAATATTTTAAATATAATTTTTTTATACACAATAAAAAAATTTTCATAAATAAAAATACATTAATTAATTAATCATTCCAAATTAATAATAGTGATAAAAATAATCTTCTTTAAACAATATTTATTTATTCATAATCATGTCGTCGAATTTTTTGATTACGAGAAAGTCGCCTCTGATGTTGCTGAAGTTGGTGTTGCTGAAATTGGTGTTGCTGAAATTGGTGTTGCTGAAATTGATGTTGTTGAAATTGATGTTGTTGTTGTTTTTGTATATGTATGATATTACTACTAATGCCTAAAGGCACATCATCATCATCATCATCATCATCATCATCATCATCATCATCAGCATATCCATAACCTTCATTATAAAAATTTCTTTGTGAATTTATAGGTGCCAAATCATAATGTGGTTGATTAGAAATAAATCTTGATCTAAAATCACTTCCACCACCACCATTACCAGGTCCACCAGGACGATTATACAGACTATGATCTCTTTCAGCAATCAACAATTGTTGCCGTTGTTCCATTAATCTATGTTCCCGCTCTCGCTCTCTTTCAGCTTCTGCTTGACGCGCTAACACTCCTTGTCCTAGTGATCTTCTACGAACCTCTATTGCAGCAATTGCTCCAATCAAACCCGTTTGTGGACCTTTAGGTTTCTCTGGTAGATTAATTAGTGGAGAGCCAGTTTCGCGTGCAAGAAGTTCTTGTTCGCGTGCTGAAAGATGCCCATGAGAAAGATATGACGATGGCCTAAATTGATTCGGTGATGTTGGTCTTGAGTGTGGATTGAAATTATTAAAATTAAAATTATTGTTGTTGCCTCCTCTTACATAATGATTAGGATTAATATTCTCATCCATCAAAACTGCTAAAGGTTCTTCATCTGAAGAAGAACTATTAAATTTATTATTATTATTATTATTATTAGATTCCTCTTCATCGTTACTACTTGTATCACTTGATTTATTTACAAGTATTTGATTTGTTGGAATAATTTTTTTGTCACTTTTCTTTGTGGGCTTAAACACTTTCCTTGGTATATTCATAATATTATCAACATCTTCCTCTTCGCTGGTTTCATTCTTCTCTGCTACTATAATTTTCGATTTCTTTTTAGTATTATTATTCCTAACATTTGAATTATTGTTAATAGTATTTGGGTTTTTATTAATAATTTTTGAATTTAGAGCTAATGAACCAAAATCTATATTTAAATCTGTAGTCGATAAGTTGATTAGACGACCTTTTAACAATATATTTTCTTTGTTATTTTTATCATCATAATCGTCGTCGTCGTTGTCATCATCATTATATTCAGAGTAATTATCATTATCACTACTTTCGGAAGATAATTGTGGAACTATTTTTTTTTTATTCTTTTGTTGTATTTGTTGTCGTCCTGGCTTGCTTTTTAATTGAATAGGGGAGTTTTGATTTTTATTATATTTAATTGCTACAATATTTTCTTCTTTATCGTCGTCTTCTTCTTCCTCGCTATCTGATGGAAGTTGTGTTATTCTTTTATTCTTTTTTTTGAAGGGAATTTTTCTTTTAGGCTTTGAATTTTTTTCTGACGTTGGTGCTGGTAGTACTGATGTTGACATTCTTATAGTTGTAGTATTATTGGGCTCATAGGTTAAAAAACCGTAATCTGTAGCTTCAAGTGTTTTCATTTTTATAAAAAAATTATTTAATTTAATTTAGTTGTCTGAATATGTAATAAATAATTCTAATTAGATTAATTAATTGATTGGTTGAAGGAATGATAGGTTTGATAAGGACCGGGAAAACTATTGAACGTGACGGCCAACACTATGTTTCGAAAGTACTTTAAAAATAGTGTGTGAAAGGTGACCGCAACGCTATAACTCGAGTTGAATAGGAATTAGATTTAGATCCAAAAAAAAAAAGGGAAACTCAAATTGAAAAAATTTCACGCAGGGACCACACGCTAATATATTTTAATTAGTCTCTGTAAATCATTACATAAACAGAAAAAACCCACCAATCGGCTTTCGAGATTCGCGTTAATACATATATATCAGGCACTTAATTTTGGCTGTCATGTACAATAGTTTTCCCCAACGTGCATTATGAATTGGCGCGTGTGATTATCCCGTATTTTTTATACATACTAGTACTAACACTAATACTAAAAAAAATAGAATCTAATTAAATTTCAGGTGTTAAAGTTTTCAAAAATCAAATGCAAATTTTTAATCTCAGAACCACGTTATCCGTGTAATAAAATACGCCAATTTCAGTAAAAAGGAATTAGACGTTGCACGAATTTAATCGCGTTGATATATAAAAATTGAGGTAACACCGTTTGATAGTTTTTTGGTGAAGTTACATAAAAATTTAGGTAGACTTTTAATAAATGGTGAGACTATTATTGGCATAGCAGTAAATTTTTATTATAAGTCATATCCAAAATCAGACAAAATAATTTTTCTATAAAATTATGGGTAAAGCAAAAAATTTTAAAATAAAAAATAGGCGAGGGTTAAATTGTAATTGATATAGAAAGTTTCTAAGAGACTCTGCTTATTATTACAAATACTAAATTATTGTCAAAATTTATATTGTTATTATTTTTTCATAATTGCAGATGATTTTCTTAGTTCTTTAGATAAAATAGTCACCGAAGTTACATGTCTTATATTAATATGGGTAAAGATTTTAATTTTTTTCGGGATGTTATATGCTAAAATGAATAAAGGAGAAAAATGTTACATGTTTAGAAGGGTAAAAAAATTTATTAATAGCCTGAACTATGAATGTTACCTCGATTATAATAATCCGAGTCCTATATATTAATATATATACCGTAGCCGCAGTAATTCCGTTGCCCCAATTTTATTTATATTGAATAGATATTTCCGATAGTAATAGTAATAGTAATAGATAATCTCTTTTTTTTTCGTTATAAAATTTAGGCTAACTCGTAAAGTACAACTAATTTTATACATATAACGCATATAAATTTCATCATGCCATTCATAGAATGTGTGATATGCAATGCATTGTAATTATATGAGAATATCGTGCAGCGCCCACCTCATTAAGAACATTTCAGAAAAATTCTTCAATGTACATCATGTTCATTCCATCTGATGTCATAATTAAAAAATTTCCCTGCTGGAGAAGTTCATCCATTTATCTAGACCTGATTTTGTTTTAAAAATAACTAACAAGCATACTACAAATCGTTATACATTTCTAAATTAACAAGTGTAGTTAGTAGATAATGCAATTCTTTTTGGAAGCTTATTAATAAATCTACAAATAACGGGTTTTCAACAACCCAAAAGAAATTCCACAACACACAAAAACTTGGTTAAATCATGTGATGAACACCTGAGTTGCTTCTCGAGATGGTCAAAAAATTTTGAATTATCGTTTTTATTATCCTTACCAATTTCATTATTATTTTACAATATGCTGACTATATTTTGAAATCTGAACAAATAGCAATCAGGTAATAATAATATTTTGACAATTCTAAATTGCCATGATTTTCATCGTGATGCTATACGATTTCTTGATCCAATTAAGAAAGCAATTGAGCATATAAATGCCACTTTTGTCAATTGTTTTCGGCAATTATTAAGGAATTTCCACAAAATAGAAATAATTCTTCAAAAGAAAATATCAATTAGCATTTGGTAAACATCATTTAATTTTGAAATGTGTGTTTTTTTGCTACCTTTTTTTCGAATAATATGTAAAAAAAACCCCACTTTGCATTTGGAAAGCTTTAGATGGCTTTTGCTAATACTAATAATTAGTTGCACAATTGTCAAATTATTTATTTAAAATCCAACCATATGATTTTGAATTCGTTTCTGAATTACATTTACGGCGGATTATGTGCAAACAGAAAAACTCGAACAAGTCGTAATTCAATCATGACCGAGAAATGGTAATGATAGTGGTGATAAAGGCGATGAGCAACAAGCTTCATCTCAAATAAATCGTGTGGATGATCTGTTATAATCCCAAACACTTGTGAAATGGAATTTGATGTGGAATCAATTGTAAACAATGTAATGTTAAAGAATAATCATTTTTTAATTAAAATTTGAATGAATTTTAAATTAGTTGTTATCGAAAGATTTTTTAAAATATCAAATTTTAAATATAACCTTTAAAGTAAAATACCATGTACAAAGACTTGGTGCATCGCATTCATAATAATCTTTAATTTTTGCAGCATATATATTATGCTTTATATTGTTGTTGGGAACAAAAAAAAATTAAAAGATGTTTTGAATAATTTGAAACTCACTAAAAGCCAAAAAGATGCTGAGGAGATACTTTGATAACAATTGGAGTTGAAAAAGAAGCATTTGGAAACCATATAAGCTTGAAAGAGGAACGCGGGAATTAGAGCAAGCTTGCCACAAATCGTGCTAAACAAACAACAATGGATTGAAAAGAATATTCGCCTTTCCGAGAAAGTTTTAAATTAATATTAAGTTAACAGAAGCTTTTGTTTCCGTTGGAATTGGTTTAATTTTATTAATAACTTGAATATTTAAGAGATTTTTATTGAAAAAGCAAACAAGAAATATGAATAGAATAATTGGAACAATTGAAAAAGAAAAAATAGCAAACAACGCCAAAGGAAAAAATGAAGGAGTTAAAGTTTTTCCTGGGTTGGCTTACTGGCAGGGGGGAAAAGAAATTAATTCAATTAAAAAAAAACTGGATTAACTTATTGAAATTATTATTTGCTTTAAAAATAGTGAAAGTTTTGGGAAAAATCAAAAGGCTTTGTTCTTTTGGTGTCCCAAGTTCTATTCCTATTTAGTACATGTATTTTGTTATGGGTATATGCGTCGTCATCTAGATCTTTTCAATATGCGGAATCTGCGGGTGTAACATTATTATATAGTGCACCGCCAATTTTGAGAAAAAACTTCCAACAACAATAAAGATTACAGTGACGTTATTAAATGTTAGTTAAAATAAAGGAGAAATTTATATAAACTATTGAATGATTGATAAAACCTTCGTTAGTATATTTTGTTCATAGATCTTGTTCTTAAAGCTTACTTCGATTACTCCTACACAAACTATTAAATAATTGATAAACGTTCGTTAGAATATTTTGCAAATTGCACATTTCTTTGATCAATGCAATAGTCTATTTATTAAATTTAAAATAAATGAACTTGACTGTTCTTTGTATTTTTTTTAATAATAAAGATAATTCTCTTCCCGTTCATCTGGAAAATTCACGTGACAAAAGCTCTGCAATATAATAATAAGGGAAATTTCTATTGTTTCAATTCGTCTATTTTTGATATTAACTTTTGTGTGTAACATGTCATTTTAGGGCTAAACATAGTAAATTCGGTAAACTTGTGCTCAAATTCTCCACAACAACATGACATATCAATGAGATGAAATCGTGATTTTGCAGAGGAAGGTCTTGGCTTCAAA